CATAAACTCTGTTACTAATTCTGATTTAAGTATTTTTCACAAAATAATAAAATTACCTTAAACTACATTTACATACCCAATTCTTTGTAAAACTTCTCACAGCAGCATTAAATTCTTCAAATCTTGCTCACCTTAGAAAATGAAATTACCTTTTTCTTTTGTAGAATGGAGGCACACCTTTGCTTTATGCTGTACATGGAAATCATGTGAAATGTGTAAAAATGCTCTTAGGTAAGCAGATAAAAATGAAAATATTTAGAAACTGCCATGAGGACTTTATTTACTTCTTTATTGATTTTTAGAGGGTGAGGGGAAGGGGGGAGAGAGAGAGACAGACAGACAGACAGACCGACCTTGATTTGTTGTTCCAGTTATTGAGGCATTCATTGATTGACTCTTGTATGTGTCCTGACCAAAGATTGAACCTGCAGCCTAGGTGTAGTGCGACAATGCTCTAATCAACTGAGCTCCTCAGCCAGGGCTGACTGGGCCTCCTGTGGTCTTACTTAGCAGAACCATTAATTACTGTTAAATGCAGCAATCCTGCTGCCGTTCCCTGTGCTGCACCTGCTACCAGAGTGCTGCCCATGTGAGTGGCAGCTCCATCACAGCAGGCCTGCAAACGGAGCATCTGTCCTGGTTGCTTTCCTCTGGAATCATGCGTGCTTGTTTTCTCTGTTTGCAGAATCTTTGTGCATAAGTTCTGTCTCTGGTTGTTTGTGAGTTTCAGCTGCTCTAGAGGATGCTGGTTGGTTTGAAGGGTCTTCCCTTCGGCTCACCAAAATGAATCCTGTGCAGTCCATGTGCTCTGGTCTTTGTCAGGCCATCCTGAAGATGCTCTCTAAATTGGCTGAAAATCTGTCTTGCTATTTGCACATGAGTCAGTAATAGACAACCATATCCGCATTTTCATTTATTTAAGTAGATTTTTCTGTTTTGGTGTAGAAAATGGAGCTGACCCAACAATAGAAACCGACTCTGGATATAATTCTATGGACTTGGCTGTAGCCCTGGGCTATAGAAGTGGTAAGTAGTTTAGAATGCTCAGCTTTCATTTTAGTAAAGCTTTGTAAATACTACAAACCATTTTCATCGCTGTAGTAGTAGAACATTGCATGTTACCCCAACTGCTGACATGTACTTTTAACTGTGGGCGAAATCAACAAATTCCTACAGTCTAGAAATGAATTTGTTACTATTACTTTTTTTTAAAAAATATATTTTATTGATTTTTTTACAGAGAGGAAGGGAGAGGGATAGAAAGTTAGAAACACCGATGAGAGAGAAACATCAATCAGCTGCCTCCTGCACACCCCACTGGGGATGCGCCCGCAACCAAGGCACATGCCCCTGACCAGAATCGAACCCGGGACCCTTCAGTCCGCAGGCCGACGCTCCATCCACTGAGCCAAACCAGTTAGGGCTGTTACTATTACTTTTTACCAACCCAAATAATTAGCTGCTGGAAGATAAGTACACACCTATTTACAAGATGTGTTTCACATTTTTATAGCAAACTATACACTGCTCTTATAGTTGCCCTTTTTTGTTCCTTAAAACCTTGTATTCTGAATTCTCCTTCAGTTTCAAAATTTAACAACCAAGAACTGAAAATTCAGTGACTTGGGCAATTACTAAGTCAGTGAAACTAAATGTTAAGTGTATTTAAGTATCTACTTAGAAATAACTTTGTTTTAGGAAAAAGTTGGGGATGTTAAGTTGAATTTGATAATTATTTTTAAAAAATTTTAAATCAGCATGCTGTGGTCTTGATCACCTATCTGTTCTAGTTCAACAGGTTATTGAGTCACATCTATTGAAGCTGCTTCAGAATATCAAGGAGTAGGCAGAGTCGTCAGAAAGTATTGTCTGCCCTTCCGTTTACTTTTTGGCTCTTATAAATGATAGTTTTGTTTACTTATAAGTTTTTACCTCAGTTGCAATATTTACTGATTTCTACTAAGTTTTAATAAATATTCTTCTGAGTAATTCACTGGTTTATAATAAAATTAATGTTGATGCTCTTTTATAAATGTGTTTTATGGCATATTTAAAATTATAAATTAATGTTTTGTGGCATGTAAATTTTTATGGTACAGATAGTTATCTGTCTTTGTATCAAGTGCTGTAATTTAACATTTTCAGAAATTATTCTACCCTATTCATCTGTACTCTTGTATTAACTCATTGACTTTATATAGGGTTTGCTATAAATTCATGGGGGGAAAAATGTTATTATTGAATTAAAAGTGCACAGTGTGATTGTTTACAAGATGTTATAAGTAAATAAAGTACATTTTGTGTTAGTTTGCATGCTAGTTTTTTTTATTATTATTATATAAGGTTATTAAGGGATTCCTTTAGGATTTTTAGTCTAACCCATCTGTCCTTCCAGGGCACTCCATTAGGTCAAACAATATAATTAAAATAAATTGAATATAAGTCAACAAAGATTTATTGATTGTCATTTCTAGAAGGATATTTAGAATATTTTCCTCTTGATCACAAAAAGGCTGATCTTGTTAGGTTTGATTATTTATGCACACACACAGCATTTTAATCATATAGGTAGGCCTCACGTTTTCTCTGCAAAACTAGAGCCTTAGATTACTGAGAAATTAATTAGGCTAAAAAATTACCCTCTCTTCAGAAACTTTCATAAGGGGTCTCAGACTTTTAACAGCCTTAATTATTTGCTCCCCTGTTCCAAGGCCAGGGGACTAAGCCCAAGAAATCTTTCCACCAGATTTCACCTACAGTATCAGTTAATTGGGGTAAATTCCTCCCTTCCTGAGGTCTGCAAAATTTGCTAAGATCCTTGGCTTTCCAGGAAGTGACCTTCCTCACCACCAGTTAGATCAGGACCTAGAGGCTGGCACCAGGCCAGTCTTGGGGGAAGGGTTTTGTTGGTATAACTCCACAGATAAAGTGAACCCTTGTTCCTTAGTATGGACTTCTTTTTTTTTTTTTAATATATTTTTTTTTATTGATTTTTTACAGAGAGGAAGGGAGAGAGATAGAGAGTTAGAAACATCGATGAGAGAGAAACATCCATCAGCCGCCTTCTGCACATATCCTACTGGGGATGTGCCGGCAACCCAGGTACATGCCCTTGACCGGAATCGAACCTGGGACCTTTCAGTCAGCAGGCCTACGCTCTATCCACTGAGCCAAACCGGTTTTGGCAGTATGGACTTCTTATACCTGACTAAGAGCATTGTTCTCAAATATAGCCCTCTGGGTATGGCTTTTTTTGAACAATCTATTTGTCTAATTATATCTTGGTAAAAAGGACAGATTCTTATTGAATCTATGCTAATAAGTATTTTGTCATGAAAAGTGAGGAGAGTCACTGAAAAGTATGTTTCTGAATTCTGAGGCCATCAGAAAGAATCAGACACCATTTTCAAAAACTTCATTTTAGTTTACTGATGCATAGCCTATTAAATTGAAGGTTAGAGATAGCTTACCAAGAGAGAGGATCTGTATGACCATTATGACCGAACGACTGGAACGACAGGAATGACCAGTCAACCAGCCGCTATGATGCACACTGACCACCAGGGGGCAGATGCTCAACGCAGGAGCTGCCCCCTGGTGGTCAGTGCACTCCCACAGCCAACCTCCCTCAGCCCCTCCCCCCAGCCAGCTACCCCCCTTCCCCCCAACCGTCCAGCCAACTCCCGGGGTCCCTTCCCCTGGCCTGCCAGCCCCCAATAGGCCTCGATTTCCTACCAGGCCAACGGACCCCCACCATGCACGAATTTGTGCATCAGGCCTCTAGTAGTAGTATAAATATGTAAACCAGTAACATAGTTGTTTATCATTATCAAGTGGTACATAATTGTATAAACTATATTTTTATATGACTGGCGGTGCGACAGGTTTATTTACACCAGCATGACCACAATAGGTGAGGAATGCTTTGCACTGCGATGTCCTGACATTACCATGGCTGTGCTGTGAGGTCACTGGGCAGTAGGAATTTCTCAGCTCCATTATAATCTTATAGGACCACCATTGTATACGTGGTCCCACGTTAACCGAAATGTTTTATCCCACATTCAAGGTAAAGACATATTATTATTATTTTTTAAAACCAGAATTGTTATTCCAGAAAGAGAGAAACTCACACAATGCAGAGAAGTTATTCTGTTGAGACCTGGAATTTCTACTATCTAGGCAGATTACACGAATGGTAAAGAATAACCTTTACTGCCACTAGTTAAATGCTCTAAGGACGAGGTTCTCAACCTGTGGGTCGAGACCCCTTTAGCGGTCGAACGACCCTTTCACAGGGGTCGCCTAAGACTATCCTGCATATCAGATATTTACATTACGATTCATAACAGTAGCAACATTACAGTTATGAAGTAGCAACGAAAATAATTTTATGGTTGGGTCACAACATGAGGAACTGTATTTTAAAGGGCCAGAAGGTTGAGAACCACTGCCTAAGGCCAATTTATCATTTAACAGCAAAAAAACAAAAATTGCAGCTTTGCATTATTGTAAAATTTGTTAGTAAAGATTTTGTGGTCTCCTTTATTTTCCTTTAAATCATCTTGTATATAAAAATTGTATATAAAATATTTATATAGCTTCTTTCAGACTGAGGTGTGATAAGCCAAGAAAAATAAAGTTCTCTTCCTTCATGTCCTTTTCAATTTGTTATCTACACCCAAGTTTTATCTTTCCTTTACTCTTTCATATTCTGGAACAAATTGGCACTAATTTAGGTAAAAACTATTGCCTTTTTTCTTGAAAAAGAACATCCACAGTTGCATTTCTCTGCCACTACTGATTCTAGTACAGTTTCAATCAGCTGTGTTAATTACAACTTTTAACCAAATTAGTAGATAATTGAGCATTATCTGTCATATACAAGCATTTTAGCAGGGTAGGAAAGCTCATGAATATACAACTTTCTACAGCTACATGAAAGCTTTTTATACTTTCTTAAAGTGGTAAAAATGAACACATTTATTAATGTCCCAAAGATATAGCCAATCTATAGTGAATAAAAATAAGAAGCAAAAGTATATAAACCTAAAAATGCTTAATAACCAATGTTTCAATATTCCATATTACTTGGAAATTACTTGTAGGTATCCAATAATTATGCATTAATAACAATTTATTAATCCAAATTTTAAGTTGCTTAAGGATCTTGGAAATTATGTTTAAGCTAACACAAGTACTGGTGATATAAGTTTGTCAAATTTATGACTCAATTTGGTTGGATACAAGTTTATACTTTTATAATCTTAAACATTAGTTAGTGGTATTTTATCTTATTTGATCAGTAAACTAATATAAAAAGGTTAGGAAATTCAGATTAACTAGTCTTTTCCTAAGATTCAAACCCAAACCTTATTTTGTAAAGTTAAAGCTATGCTTGTATCATACTCCATATTGATAAACTCAAGGTAAAGACATATAAATATTATTTCTTGAAATCAAAATTATTAAACCAAGATAATTTGATCGAGGACTCACCTTCATTATGTAAACTTTGATTCTTAAAATGTTTTTGAGCTAACAAGTTCAATAAGAATAGTTTTTTTTTCTTAAATGTCTAGCACACTCAAAACATTAGAGGTTCAGTTTCTTTATTTTCTGGGGTTTGTGGGAACATTTGAGTCATATAAACTATTCTATAAGCCAATCCGAGCAATGCCAAAGAGGTTTCTTGTTATTCTTTTGCTCTAGGATTTCCTTTGGGGGCCAGGTGTTGACTGGGCAGAACTCATGCCAGCTCCCAGAGTTCACCCACAGAGCCAGGTAACCCACCCATAATGCATGTCTGTTAGGGAAACTTCCCTCTCTCCTCTTACTTGGCTGTCCTGGTGTTTGCCCTGCTACCAAGGACACTGTCAACCAGAGCGAGGTCACTTGTGTGTGTCCCTGTCTCAGGTCCCTCAGCGCTTCAGGCTGTCCAATTTGAAGGAAGAGCCCACTCACCCAACTGTGCCAGGGTTTGGACTCACTGCCTTTCCCAAGAGTAAACCAGTCTCTTAGACATTGTAGACTTTTCTTTAGAAGATGATGTTGCCTTGCCTATTTGATGAGACGTCAGAGGGCCCTCCCAAGAGAGCCTTGTGTACTTGGTCAGTTTGCACAGCCTCCTGCTTGGGAAGAAATTAAATGTATCAACCACTGTGGTCTTAGGAGAAAGCCTAGCGCAAATGTCAAGGTTTGTGCAAATGCTGGAGTCATGGCCACTGTGCCACATGGTCTTGTCGGGGAGAGAAGACAGTACAAATTACGTAACCACAAGTAATATGAGGCAATAGATAACCAAGTGAATGTCAATGAATAGATAACAAAAGTAAATATCAAAGGAATGGATTTGAGGAAGAAAATTATTTTTGTGGCTTCAGGAAGCCAAGGTCAGAATCCCCAATAACTTGGCATTTAAAAAAAATTATCACTTTTCTGAATATAAAAGTAATGTATACTCTTGTGCCTGTTAGGGTGTTTTCAGCTATAAAATAAAATCTACTTATTAACAAGCAAGTTAATGTATTTGCCCATCAAAGAGGTTATCCAGGTGCTTTATTTCCTAGTTTCCCCTTTACCCAGCCCCCTTCCAGCCTCCTTTGCAGTTAAAGTGCAAGTGTGTGATGGAGGTTTAACCGATCGGATGCTCCCAGCCCAGCTTTTTGAATTGGCAGCTACTGACCCACAGCAGTGAGAACGGTAGAGTCCACAGCAGTGACAGCGGCAACCACAGCATATTCGGTTCCCGGGAGCAGTAGATGCTGTACTCCATGTGACGGCCATCTCACGGCAAGATGGGGCCGTGGCCCCGCAGCTGCCTGGCCTTCCTCGTTCCTGGCCTTCGTCCAGCCTGCTTCTCAAGGCCCCTGGTGTTCCTGAACCACAGGCCAGCTTTTCAGTCCATTCCTTTTCTGTTTAGCAGAGTTGGCCTCTGAAGTTAAGAATTTTGGTAGTTACAAAGAAAGAAGGAGGACAGCCCTCTTCCAGACTCTGTGTCCCACGTTGCCACCTGAGCACAAGGAATCCATGAAAACAGGTCCTGCTTCCCTTCTCCGCCCTTCTCTTCCCCTCCCTTTATCTTTCTTCCCTTCCCTGCTCTCTCCAGGGCTCAGGTGTGATTCCAGAGGACAGCCCGGCTGCCAGCATCAGAGGCATTTACCACACACTCCACCCCTCACGGCCTCAACCTTCGCCACAAACCTTCCCTGCGAAGAGCCTTCACCCCACACAACTCAGCTCCTACAAATAGATGAGTCTTACTTGTCTGTCCAGCACACCACTTTGTGCCTATGTTAGAACCCCCTGCATGGTGACAAATTAGTTACTTGGAGAAATAAATTGTCCTCTTTCTAAAAAGATCCTTCTGGATTGTTTATAGCTGGACCAAATTACTCCTGTTGAGCCCGACACCTGCTTCCTAAAGGCCTGAACCTGCCAATCTCCTTGTCCCCTCCCTGTCTCTCTCCCACCAGCATTCACTGAGCACTTCCTAAGGGCGAGACAAAATGAGAGAGCTCAGCTCAGCCCTCCCTCAGGGAGGTCTCACTTCTGCCCGGATTCTCTGTAACTCACAGCAAGTCCGTGTAGTCAAGGCTGCTCCTTCTCTTGTAGATCACCCAAGTCTCTTCTCTTTCTGGTGGGAAGAAAATGCCTTTAGGTCTGGATCATAAAAAGGTGACATTTCTACTTTTTTTGAAAAAGATAAAAAGAAAAAAATTTTAAATAAAAAGGAGCAGTCCTATCCCAGGAGCCACCCAAAAATACCTTCCCTGTCGCCAGCTGATGGCTTCAAGGCACCTAAAGTACCAAGAGGGTTTCCCAGACTCCGACTCCTGGGCAGCTTTAGGTGGAGGGCAGGTGGAGGTAAATTCCAAGTGACTGAGCTGGTGGGGGTAAACATGGCTGCCTATGTCATCCTTAGACCTTCAAAGTTTCCAGAGGCCAAAGACTGTGCACAAGAATTGCCCTGTTACATTCACTGACAATCATTTTCAATAATCAACTTTTCATAAATGTCAATACACTTATATTGATATATACATATAACACACATATATACATATATAAAGTGGTTTCATTATAAAACATTTAAATAAAATTATTGCTATACATAAAAATAGTCTCCAATTAAAGTAAATACATAGTTGAACTGTTTTAAAATGTTGCCTTGTAAGTTATAAATAGACTAAACCACTCACATAGTAATAGGAGCCAGCAGTAATCTTCATTCCTGCTGAAGTTGACTTTCCATGATGGTGACCTCAACAGATTTCCCACAAGCCACAGGACCTCAAGGTCCAGGGTCACGCATGCTTATAATCCCTGGCAGGGATTATTTCATATCATGTCCTTTGAGAGGACAAGGAGACAGGGATTCCCAGGTGACCAACCCACAGAAGAGTTCCGGAAAGCCTCTGGTTTCACTAGCTCTGGGGAGACGGGCCCACTCCCCACGGAGTCCCCAACATACAGGCTTCCCCTCAATCTCAAGGAGGCTCATGTTGGAGACAATCTGGGTCCTAAGGGTTTGGCTGCAAAAGGTCTGAGAGGGGTTCATGCTCCAGCTCAGAAGGTCCCCACCCACTTGCCAGGTAAATGTGCTGCTTGGAGAAAGTTGAGGCTGCTATTGGGGTTGACTTCCCAGCAACCTGTGCACCAAACTTGTGTCTACTCACTGAACAGGACTTCAGCATCATCACCAGTGGCTTAATGGCAGTCCCATATGATAGCAATTTGTCATCACTTTTGAACCCTAAAAATAGGCTAAACTCTTTGTACTACACAGACTTAGATCCAATTATTTGATTTTGTTCCCAATTATTTTAAAATTAAAAACAAAAATGAAAAGATTTGTTTCCACTACTGCAGCACTTGTCAAAACACCCTCCAAGTATTTTTATCAGTGATTCTCATCAGACATTGGTATAAAGCTTTTAATAGGTACCCAAATAGTTACCTCGTTTGGTTCACCCAGGAGTCCCTTGGAGTTGACAACCAAGTCCCTTCCACTTGAGATCCAAGGAAACCAAGATCCAAGGAGGCATGAGACTTGCTCAGCCAGTAAACAGTGAAGGAGCCAGACCTCCCACGCTTGTGTTCTGAACATGCTTAAAACAGGACCAAACAGAGGACTAAACCTCAGCATTTTCCAGGCTGAAATACAGAGGAACACAAACCATTAAACCTATCTGATGAGGCCTGCTATTGATTTTTGTATTTAAAAGAGAAGATGAAGACTGTAAGTAGTTTTCTGTTATCTACATTTTGCAAAAGGGAAGAGAAAGAGAAAAAGAAAGATTATGAGGGCGATATACCAACATAAGAGCAATTTTCTCTCCGCAGGTGACAGGCAGGCACAAGCACAGCTTGCCTGCACAAATGCCACCCACTTTGTGGAGCAGCGATAATCCATCAACATGGTGTGTCAGCTAGGATTTAGCAAACCGGGTTATGTTTTAAAGAACCAGAGGCCGTAAGGGCCTACTATGGAAAATGTATGCAAAATGAAGGATTCGTCCCTAATTTTTCTTTTATGCAAAGGTACCCTGTTCCAACAATTCTAAAGTGCTCTCTTTATTTTCCCATCTTAACCTCTTTTAAATCAGCATGCATCTCCGTAAGCAAGCTGCTGCTGATATGCCATACTATAACTGCCCACCAGGGGACAGTCATGATGAAGTAATGTGAAATCTCCCAGTCACACCTAGGGTTAGAATAAAAAATCCTCAACCTCAAAAGCACTTGAGATTTGATGAAATACATAATGGCTTGCTTGAAGCAAGATACAATACAAGAGTTTATTTTAAATGGGGATCAGATAATAATATTAGAACCTAGGTTATATTTTAATCCTAGATTTAGAATTCGCCGGTAATGAACCCATAAAACCCTAGACACCCCAACCTCAACCTCAATAAAGACAGAGCCCTAGGTCCCCAGAGACTCTCAGGGCGCTCGCTCGTTCTCTCTCTCTCTCTCTCTCTCTCTCTCTCTCTCTCTCTCTCTCTCCCCCCCTCACTCTCTTCATGGCCTGGATTTGTTTACTTGTGGGTAACAAACCTTGTTTTATCAAAGTTCCCTGGTGGTTATTGCAATCATAAGAGCTGCAAGAGTAGATCCAGACAGCACGTTGATCGGGGAAATATCTGTGGGGGCTCCACAAGCAGTACCACCCCACTTGGATGCTCCCCAGCATTCCTACCTGATAGCATCACTGTGCTAGGCTGAGAGCAGACACAAAACAACTGTGTTAACTGAAATGGCTCACACCATTATTTTGTGACCTTTTATAGTTTGCGGCATACATGGAATATTGCAAGTACACGCTTTGCACTAGGCAGATAATTATTTCCTTCTTCTCCACTCCAGCCTTCTGCCCATCTGTCCTCACTGCATATTTTATAAGCACATAAGTCAGTATGATAAAAATGTCCCTTAAAAGGCAGCCAATCTTCAAAGAAGCTAATAATACATGACCTATTTCATGAAAAGAAAAAAGAAGGTGGTTCAAAAGCAACTAAAATGTCAACCTGGTTTGAAAGAAGTCAATTAGCAACACAGATATAACGATGCTATGCTGGTGATAAGCTTGGTTAACAAAACAATGAGGCCTATTAGAAACATGTTAATAAAGCATTCTGGTGTTGAAAGCTTATTTTTGATGAGCTGGAAAAGCAAAGAAAACTAATCCTGAGCCATTTTCCAGTTCAGAATGATTTTGTTTATCCTTCTTTGCTAGAGTTGGAGCCAACAATTCTGAAGGTTTGGATTAGCTCTTAATATTTCTAGCCCCTTGAGTATTCAAATCAATGGTGCATTTCTGGGAACAGCTCTCTCACCACAGGCGGCAGGCTGAGGAACGAAGCTTCCCCACGTGGAAGCCAAGAGCCCTCTCTCCTTTCACCGCCTTGACCAGTGGCCTTTAGTCAGAAGCTGGCAAAGGGGAGTCAATGACCCCAAGGCATCAACACAGCAAGGCCACACATCTAGGCCCCAGTTTCTCCAAGTGTAAAACAAGGCTATTGGACCAGATTAACATCTCAAAACTTGTCCCAAGGAGAGTCCGCTGAGGGGCACAGCCGCTCAGTGTGGGGGCCTATGCTGAAGAAGAAGGAGGCAGAAAGGAATGTAGAGCAGCTCTCAGAGGTGAGCTATCCTGGATTGGGAAGTGGATGCAGTGAGATTGCCAGGAGGAGAGAGGACAGCGTCCTCTGGGGTAGGCTCCTCCAACCCAAATACTTCATGAACCCCTTCACATTCTCTGAGAATTGCTGCAGGCCTCCTCAGCATGTTCCTATCCCTTTAACTTTTATTATAACGTTATTTCAATATGTAAAGCATAAAAACAATGGATAAACTGTACATTTTAGAGTACAGTATAAATGCAGAACAAAATTACAATCAAATACCATAAAGATAATAAAGTTCAAATTTATGATATTAATTTAATGTAGTTGGTAAGTGGATGGTATTATCTTTCAGAAACTAAATGGCCAATTTGAGGTTAATGGTAGACAACTTTAGCTCAGGTCTGGTCATATATTTAGTCTGTTTCTACATTGTAAGTTTATAAATATATCTCCTGAGAACGTCTGTCTGCATACGAAACAGGAGAGTCAGTACATTCCAGCCTTGGTTTGTAGTTCAGGAGAAGCAAGCCTTTCACTTAACCAACACGCTGTACGTGAGCAAAGCAGGTGTCACTTGATAACTAGTATCTCTCTTGTATTTGAAGATACTAATCTACATTCAGCGGGCAACTCATCTAATTATTGTTCACTCAGAATAGAGCCATTCCTCAACGCATACTTACTACTAAAATTATTGTGAATGGAATGGTTGAAAGTTGATATTTTTGATGACTGCGACCGTATGTAGTGCACATCTACTGGAAATGTGTACATGGTTATGGGGCAAGTTCCTTTTCAGCCTGACATGCCTGTATTTTGTGTGCTCTGAGATGACTCAGTTCTCCCACCACATTCCCGTGTTCAACCTCCTGCAAAATCTCTCAGTGATAGAGTACACCATGAAGTCACCTGAATCTCATAAACACGCATCAAAGGATAAACATGATGATTCTGATGATACATATACCACTACTCAATTGTGGTCATCCAGATGATTCAGAATGTTCTAAGACTGACTGTTATAGGCTATCATCACAATGAAAACCAAAATTTGGATCATGTATATATATATATATATATATATATATATATATATATATATATATATATATATATAAATTTTCACTCTTTAAAAAAATAAAATGTCTGGCCAGTCACCCCCAAATAGCATTGGACAGACAGGGGGTCTCTCCTGCCCCTTTCAGTTCCTCTGTCCATGCCACTCCTGAGCCAGTGAGGATGGTAGTCAATGGTTAGTGGGGCTGAGAGGATCCTAAGAGGACTCTGGAGCCCATTTATTGCTCTCTGCTGCCCTCTTCAGTGCAGAAATTGGCATCTAGTCAGGTCTCACAGGAAGTTGGGAAATGATATTGTGCAGGCCCAAGCCTTCTGGGCACCTCAGCTCACCATTCCAGCCCCAAGCCCCTCCTCAGAATCCCAACGCCCCGGGCGGGCGTTGAGCCACTGCACACCCTCAGGCCCCCAGGCCTGGGGAAGCCCCAGTTTATCTTGCACCTGCACAATTCCTTCTCCCTCCCTCTTGCTGTTATGGCTTAGTTAAGAAGGATTTTAGGGCCCAGAGAGCCCATGAAGTTTTCTCATGCAGTGGCATGGTTTCCAATTACACACGCGCCACTGAGGTAATAAAGACAGGTTTTGTTGTTCTAATTCCATTTTAATATCAGGTCTATTTTAATGTCCAATGCTATTTCAACCATTAGTGTTTGCATTAGCCTTTTGAACACCTTGAAGGGCTGTCATATGAAATAAACAATGACTCCCTAAAATAGGTTCTTTTGTTGTTTTCTGATCATAGCCTCATTATCCTTATTATCCTTTAGACTAGAGAAGTGATGTTCAAATGAACCACACAGGGTGCACAGGAGGATCCAGGGGGCTCAGGGTAGAAAACAGAGAACCTTTTTTTAAATATATATAGTATATTTAACTTCATTCTTCTTAAATTTCAATTTTGGACAATGTACAATATACATAATATATTTATTAGTGGGCTAGTACATGCATATATTTATAAGTAAATAATCATATATTGGGGGGAATGCTTATTTTTATTTCATTTATGTATTTTGTTACTGAAGGGATATACAATGATAAAATCTTAAGACCTTTTTTCTAGAAGAGTATCATCCTAGCTCTGTTTCAGAATCACTAAGAGAGCTTATTTAAAAAACAAAACAAAACAAAACACAAAAAAACCCCAAACTTATTGTGATTCTGATGCAAATCCCCACTGCTGGCAAAATAATCACATTGTTGCCGAAACCAGTTTGGCTCAGTGGATAGAGCGTCGGCTTGCGGACTGAAAGGTCCCAGGTTCGATTCCGGTCAAGGGCATGTACCTGGGTTGCGGGCACATCCCCCAGTGGGAGATGTGCAGGAGGCAGCTGATCGATGTTCCTCTCTCATCGATGTTTCTAACTCTCTATCTCTCTCCCTTCCTCTCTGTGAAAAATCAATAAAATATATTTAAAAAAAAAAATCACATTGTTCTCTGGACTGTAAGCTCACTGAGGGCAGACTATGTCTGTCTATCTTGTTCACCATTGTATCTACAGAGCCTAGTACACTGTCTGACACAGATGTTCCACAAATACTTGCTAAAAACAATGAATGAATACATGATCCATAATCCAGAGACATCCACTGCTAACTCCCCAACCTTTGTTTTCATGCTTAATGTTTTTATACAGTTGTTTTATATGTTCGAGTAATCATCATATATAAAACTGAGTAAATTTTTGTCACTTTTAATAAACAGGTGTTTACTATTTAAAGTGACTGAAGTGTTTTAGCACTGTTAGCATTTAACATTTCCTATTATAAATTGCATTATAAAAAATCGTTCTGCATAAAGTTTTCTTCTACACATCTAATTATATGCATGGAAGAGAGTTCCAGATGTGGGTTTGGACAAATTAATATTGACCCAGGAGCAGGAGATTCTGGTTTAAGGAGTGAAGGCTTACAAAGGGTTTGTGATCTGGCAGAATGAGATTCCTTGGGGAAGCTTGGGTGTGGCAGGAAGACTTGGAGTGTCTGATTGAGTTCTGATCCCTGTTTTCCCCACCTACAGGCTATGACACTTAAACTTTTAAGCCTAAGTTTCGTCTCCTATAATATGAATATTCAGTTACATGACAGGCCTGCTGATTCTGAAGCTTTATTAGTGCTAGAGGTAAAAGAATTAATTTTTGTATTTAAAATAGTTCCAAAGGCATAAATGCCTTAGAGCAGTGGTTCTCAACCTTCCTAATGTTGTGACCCTTTAATACAGTTCCTCATGTTGTGGTGACCCCCAACCATAAAATTATTTTCGTGGGTACTTCATAACTGCAATTTTGCTACTGTTATGAATCATAATGTAAATATCTGATATGCAGGATGTATTTTCATTGTTACAAATTGAACATAATTAAAGCATAATGATTAATCACAAAAGCAATATGTAATTATATATGTGTTTTCTGATGGTCTTAGGCGACCCCTGCAAAAGGGTCTTTCGACCCCCAAAGGGGTCGCGACCCACAGGTTTAGAACCGCTGCCTTAGAGTCTAGGAGGGGTTCCTATGAAAGGAGGCCATCCCATCTCTCTTCTTTAAAAATGTAGTTCACCCACAAGTGGGTGTGAACGCTAATTCCTTTGGTGGGGGCCCAGGAAATCCCACATCTGCAGACTTCAGCTCTTGGAGAAGGTTCAGAGATATTTCGGAGCTCTGGTCAATG